CTCTGTGACAAAAGGAGGTTAGTGTGACCTGATTTGTAAGAATAACAAGTCCCTGCAAATTTCTTGCGTGTGTGTGTTTTTAGTTGACGTTATTCCACAAGTGTTACCGAGAGTAAGAAAAATCATCAGATGAAAGAAAAATCTTCCTTCTTGGAAGTCAGCCATTTTCTGTCTTCTTTTGTGATTCTTGTCCATAATAGTGCATTTTGCATGACTGTAACCTTCTGGTAGAAGTAATGTAATTTTTAAATGTATATTATTTACTTTATAAGCATGCTTCTATTTGGCTACTTAGTATTTATAATTTTCTTTTTGAGAGAGATTTTTACTCTCAGGGATGTGCGCTCATTGGAGAGACAGAGACAGAAAGCGAGAAATCACCCCCTGGGGGATGGCCACACCACAGTCCTTTCTCTTCCATTCTCTTCTTGGGATTTTGGGCACACATGCACACGTACCCAGTGTGAGTTTTAAGCCACTGGGTCCAGGACTTGAACTGCAGTTGACTACATGGGAGTTCAGTGATGTAACCATTGTGCCATTTACAAGTCCCCATAAGTTTCACTTTAACCTCTGCATAGTATCTTACCACTTCGATGTGCTATAGTGTACTTACCCATCATCCACAAACCGATGGGCATGGCAGTTACTGGTGCTGAAATAGTGAGTTACTGCCAGGTCTCAGGGGACCTCGAAGGTAGGCGGAGATGTATATAGCGGAGTCGTTAAGAGCTGAGCCCGGATCAGGCTGTTTCAGTCGATTAACCTTTTTTGGTTCTGGGTTTTCCTGATGAGCTCCTCTTCCCTGGTGCCTGCTGTGTGGTCGGTCAGTCATCGAGGTGTGATGAGCAGATCCCTAGGAGAAAGGGTAGCAAAGCGTTTGCAGTCAGGGCCACATCACAGCAGTCCTCATCAGTGCGGCCGCACTCGTTCTCAGTGGTAACCGTGGCAGGTTTCCGGGTCACTGGCGCATGCAAACAATAAAAATAAAAAGGGAGTCAGGTGTACTTGGAAGGTTGTACTGTAGTATTCTCCTTCATTCAGTGACCCATCCCTATGTCCCAATTTTAAGGTGTCGTTTTAGTGGAATTAAAATGAATTACACTCATTTTCAATTACAATTTTTTAAAAGATTTATTTATTTACTTTCACCTGAGTTTTACCTGAAAAAGACAGAGAGAGAGTGAGCGAGCGAGTGAGCAAGCCTCCACCTCCGGGACTTGAACCGTGGTCAGCCATGTGAGAATTCTAGTGCCTTAACCACCATATCACTTGCTGGCCCCTCAATTACAACTTTTGTACCAGAGCTGCTGGCATGGCCCCTGAAGGACAGGAGCTGCAGCTTCTATAGCAGCGACAGGGAGGCTCTTCCCTGCGGGGGGCCCCATTCATGGTCCATTTGCCTTCCCTTTTACCCCTGTTGTTTTGTATTTACTTTCATAGACCACTTGAAAACATTCTTAGAATGAGATTTCCTGCATAGCTCAGACAAATAACCTACAGCCTGAACGGGGTCACCATGAAGGTAATAGTCATCCGACTTTCTTCAGAACCTTTTAGAGTGTTCGTGAAGTGGTGCCTTCTTTCTGGGCACCGCTTACCTAGAGGGAGGTAAATAAATCACAGTAGTTCAAGTGGAAAGGCGGCTGGAATAGAGGAGGAAGTACAGGTCGATTGCCACAGGAAGATTGGCCCGGAAAGGAACAGAGATGGCTGTCTCTGGGCAGCTTAAAGGCTGCCTTGTGGAAGAGGGGTTCCATTTGTCTCACGTAAGAAACTAAGATCAGTATTTAGAAAACTGAAGGGAAAAGATGCAGGACTCAAGGATCATCTAGCCATTAGGGCTGTCCAGAGGTGGAATGGGCTGCCCTGGGAAGGGGGGTCTGGATAGATGAGCAGAGTGGACGTGACTGCTGTGGTGGGCCTTGTTGACCCTGGAGTTCCTTCTGACCCACCGTTCTGAGACTTTGTTGGTGAGATTCGCAGTACGAATGACGGGACGCTGACTGGAACTGGGAGAATGTAGGCGATGTATTCTTGGACACGTTGAGTTTGAAAGGAAGTCGGGCTGCTCGGTGGCGACGCCCATGCAGTCACTGTAAATGTGGGATTGGAGTCTAGGTGAGAGGCCTGGCTTGGAGATAGTCTTAGGAGTCCCAGACAAAAAATTAAACCACAGGATGGATGAGAGAATTGGTTCTCCAGGGGGAGAATTCATTCAAAGAGTACAGCACCTCAAAGAAAATGCATATGAAGATGTTACACTTCCACGAATTACTGAAGTAAACAGAATGATGGTCAGAGGGCCCGGCGTGCAGGGGGGTAACAGAGTGGAGAGAGTGGGCAGAGAAGGTTTTCTCGCAGGTGCTCCCCATGCTGTAGAGAAATTCTGGAGCGTGGGGATGGAGAACAGTGCAGCTGGGTCAGGGGTGTGGAGATTACTGTGCAGTGCTAAGGAAGCCATTTCTGTGGAGCCAGTAGCGACTAGAACAGTCTGAGTGTTCAAGAAAGAACAGTGTGAAGGAACAAGAAGCTACCCGTGTAAGAAATCTGGAAAAGAAAGGTTGCTGGAGGAGTGGACGGTAGAGCTGAGACTTTTCATCACTAATGAAAAAAAAAATTGTTAAGAGATTTTTTTCTATAGGGCATGTGCGCTTGCCAGAGAGACAGAGAGAAACAGCAAGAAATCACCGTGGGGGGATGGCCACACCACAATCCCTCCTCCTCCATTCTTCTTTTGGGATTTTGGGCATGCACGCACATGCCCCCAGCATGAGTTTCAAGCCTCCGGATCCGAGACTTGAACCACGGTTGGCCATGTGGGAGTCCAGCAATGTAACAATTACGCCATCTGCTGGTCCTCGTTAATGAAAATTTTAATTTGTTTTTATGTTAACTCTAAAGATGGTGAAGACCCATAAGGCTTTTTTTTTTTTTTTTTTTTTTACTTGTTTTTACTGTCTGCTTTTTATCATTTTTAAGGACTCGTGTCACAAGGGTTTTCCTGCCATTTGTTTCTCTAGTAGCTGCCGCCCAGGGGAAATCAGAATCAAAGAGAAAAGTTGGAGAGTCAGACAGTTTTGCCTTGTGTGCTCAGTTCCTTGTTTATAAAATGCATAAATGTGGGACCAGCAGATGGTGTAACGATTACATCACTGGATTCCATGTAGTCAGCTGCGGTTCGATTACCAGACCCCATGGCTTGAAACTCCTGCTGGGTGTATGTGCGTGCCCAAGATCCTGAGAGGAGACTAGAGAAGGGATTGTGGCATGGCCATCCCTTCTGGGGGGTGGTCTCTCGCTTTCTGTCTTTCTCTTTCTGGTGAGCACATGCATCCTATAGCAAAAATCTCTCTAAAAAAAAATCAATAAATAAAAAAATAAATGTGAGAGGGCAGCATGCATGCCACCTTATCACTAGTTACCTAGGAGGGGAGGTCCCACACCCACTGCCTCGGTCGAGAGTCTCGCTCTGCTGAGCTGCAGTGTTGTAAATGGTTAGGGGTAATATATGCACAGATCACTTACGCAGTTAAAATTATTTTGGGAGTAGACAGAAGAGGAAGGTTTAATGAGAGCATCTGCCAGCCCCAGCAAGTTTGCAGGATTGTGGTTCCCAGTGTCTCTCCTTCACTGTAGGGTCTGTTCTTCCTAGTTGAAAGGATACTTTGAGAACCCAGACACACGCACGCACAACAACAGTCAGAGAAGAGAGGTTTCCCTCCTCATTACAAGGCAGAATTTTGGCCAAGTGTCAGCCAAGAGAACCTGAAGAATACTAGGCCCGCAGGTGGCGTAGTGGTTAAGGCACTGGCACTCCCACATGACTGACAATGGTTTGAGTCCCAGACCTGGTGGCTTGCCTTCTTGCTGTTCCTTTCTCTCTTGCTCTCTCACTGGTCAAGTTAAATAATAGTAATAGTAATAAATAAAATAATTCTTTTAAGAAAAAAAGAATACTTTATGATAATGTACTGTCTTCTTAGTGGGACATTAAAAACTCTGAAAACTATCAGTTTTCAGGGGAATAAAACTCTAATACTATTGTGCCATTTAAGTATTATCAGTTTAAGAAAAATAAGAACAGGGACCTGAATCCTGGACTGGATGGCTTAAAACTCACACAGGGCGCATGCGCGTGCATGACCAAAATTCCGAGAGGAGAATGGAGAAAGGGATTGCAGAGTGGTCGTCTCCCTTGGGGGGTGATTTCTCGCTTTCTGTTTCTCTGTCTCTGTCTCTCTGGCGAATGCACATACCCTATAGCAAACATCTCTCTAAAAATCAAAAGAAACCCAAACATTTATGTGTCATCACCATACTTAAGTAATTATTAAAATATCTCCATATTTACAAAGCCCAGTCATACTCATCCCGTTGGATTTGTAAACCCAGAGGTGGCTCAGAGGGGTGACTGTGTTGAAAGGTTCTTGTACAAGTCTCCTGCTTCTCCTATGTTGTGGGAGTTATCTTTGGTCAATACAGTTTGGGTGCTTAACTTTTTGTTATCTTTTGTTTCTAAAATGTCTATAATTACCATACTTCGGGACCAGCAGATGGCATAGTGGCTACGTCGCTGGACTCCCATGTAGTCGACCATGGTTTGAGTCCTGGACCTGGTGGCTTAAACTCACCTGGGCACGTGTGCGTGAATGCCCAGGATCCCAAGAGGAGAACGGAGGAGAGGGGATTGCGGTGTGGCCATCCCCCCTGGGGGGTGATTTCTCACTTTCTGTCTCTGTCTCTCTCTTGTCTGTCTGGTGAACGCACGCACCCTATAGCAACAACTTCTAAAAATAAATAAATAAAAGACAATGACCACACTTCACTTTTTAAATAAACACATACAATTTTTTTCTATGCTTTCATGAGCCAAAATTGTCGAGAACAAGTGCGTTGCTCCTGGGTGGTTACTGGATATGTGAAGTCGTCACATCTCCATGTGGCTCACGCCGTGTATATGACCGGTCAGTGAATTTACAGGATTTCTGGTTCTGCAGGTCGTGTCTATGCTGTCTTGTCAAAGAGAGAAGGTCGGGTGCTTCAGGAGGAAATGAAGGAAGGGACAGACATGTTCATTATCAAGGCTGTGCTGCCTGTCGCCGAGAGCTTCGGGTTTGCTGATGAAATCAGGAAGAGGACGAGCGGCCTGGCCAGCCCGCAGCTGGTGTTCAGCCACTGGGAGGTAAAGCCCGGATCCCCCTTTCCCTCGCCCTCCCTTCCTCCCTCCCTCGTCCTCTGCAGATGAGCTTCCCACAGGTGAGGCCTGCTCGGCCTTCCTAGGGCTTGGCTCAGACCGCGGAGGGCTTTTTCCATCACCTTGGATGTTCCTTAGATTATGTATATGCCTTACAACACACACACATACACACACACACACACACTCTTTTTATTTGCTGTAAAATTTAAGGTACAGAATACTACTTCTTTTCCCCACCCCCAATTTATTTATTTATTTTTTTTTTACGAGAAAAATTTTTGCTTTAGTGTGTATGTGCTCACCAAAGAGACAGAGACAGAAAGTGAAAAATTATCCCCCTCTCCCCAGGGTTAGGAGGTTATGTCGCAGCCCCTTCTCCTCCATTCTCCTCTCAGTATTTTGGACATGCACATACACATGCCCAGTGTGAGTTTCAAAGTGCCCAGTCCAGGACTCGAACCGCAGGCGGTTGTGTAGAAGTCCAGTGACATAACCATTATGCCATCTGCTGGTCCCAATGTGTTAGATTTTAAAAGGAAATCAAACCTTTTGAAAAATGAAACTTGACATTTTCTTCTGAAGAACAAAAAATCTCTTCCAGAATTTGGAGGGGAACAATTAGGCTTCTTGCAAGGGATCACTGTAAATGAGCGTGTGTTATATATTCTTCAGACCCCCTTTGCGGGGCTTTGGGGCTTTCAGGTGTTGTGCAGTAAACTGGCTCATCACAGCCCCTTATGGTCAGTACGAGTAAAGGTAAGTGAGAACGCCAACCTCATCCACGCTCAGAAGGGGAACCAGAGATCTGCATTGCTGGAGGCGGAAGGAAGGATTGTGAGCACATCGTTGAAGGTAGGGGTCACATCGTAGTGAGAGGCAATGGTGAGGTCAGGCCAGCCTTCCTGGGCAGACCTTAATGGAAAGGTAGATGCTGACCAGCTGCAGAGGACAGGGGGTGCCGCATGGGAAAAAGCCGGCAAAGGGAGGCAGCAGGGCATGGGCAAGGGCAGTTCATGTTCCAGGAAGAAGCCTAAGGTCGGGACTAGAACTTTTAACTAAAGGATGCAAGTAGAAAGCTGGTTTTAAGGAAGCAGTTTTGGAGACCAGCAGATGGCATAATGGTTACACTGCTGGACTCCCATGTCGTTGACTGTGGTTCAAGTCCCAGACTCAGCAACTTGAAACTCAAACCAGGCCCGTGTGTGTGTGTGTGTGTGTGTGTGTGTGTGTGTGTG